CATTCAGCTGGCAGCAGGGTCTAGAGTAGCGAAACGGCCACGGAGTAGGGACACGGCCTAATCCTATAAGTAGACTAGCATTATGCAACACCTTAAAACGACTGGAACCAAGCGAGGCAAATGGTTTTGGGTCGAACCAAAAATTAGCTACGCTTGAAATTATATTTATATAGTATATATTTGTTCACCTTTATTTTTTCACTTTAAGCACTTTTTTGTTTCTCGTTCTACAGTTTTTGTTTTGTTTTTTTTTCATAATTATGTGAGCCAGCACAGCTGAGCACCAAAATTTAATTGCTTTTTCTTATTTGAACACAAAAGGCGCGCAATTAGCTGACCAACAAAGGCGGGCAAAGAAAGCCATTGAAATGCTTGGCCCAGGCACACTCCGAGCACTTCATAATTTATTGGCCCCAAGTCTCAACTTTGCACAGTTCCGAACTGAACTTAACTACAATTTGGTTTTCGTGTACATTTCCATTGTCATTCCAGCAGCAACAAGCAACAAGAACTTTACTTCATTTCCATATATGTTTAATTTTTATTCGGCTTTCCATCTCATTCTTAAAAAAAACAAACAATTGCGACTGTGTTTTTTTTTTTTGCATCTCTTGAATACAAACAAAAGAATTCATTATTTTACTGTTGTGCATTTAAATTTGATCCAACACACGCTATTTTCGCAAATTCACACACACACACACTCACGTATATATAAATATATATATATTCACACACATATATAAACATCAGGCACTTGCAGTTGATTTTAATCGCACTTTTCGTACGTTTTTTGAGTTTTGCATAAATTTTCCTTCTAGTTCATTTTGTTTACTTTGACCTGGTTTTTCATTTGCGTTATACGGCCCACAGTTTTCCGTTTTCCCGTTTTCACTTTTCTTTGTTTTTCTCTTTTAGCTGCCTTTTATGCGAGCCTTATGCGCTTCTCATTAAAACAGGTAAACAGAATCGCATCAAATTTGCTGATAGACAACAGATAACAGTTAAAACTTTCTGCAAACTGTCTGTGCTAATATGTGTGCGTGCGTGTGTGCGTGCGTGTGTGTGTGTGTGTGTGTGTGTGTGTGTGTGTGTGTGCTGATAAAGTCTGGGCGTTATTTCGGGGGCAGTTTGATTAGGCAAATTGAGGATAATGTTGATGAGCCAAAAGCCTTTTGAATGTTCTTGCTAAGTGTTGCGCATTAACTGCAGCAATTAAGCCTCAATTCAAGAGGCGATTATTTGGTAGAAAAGGGTTAGCTTTGAGAAAACATAAAAATGGATCATGAAAATTTATAATGAGCGAAAGAAACTTATGTAACATAAAATGTGATGGGCTCATGCTAGCCGAAAGCATAGTGCTCTTTCTTAAACATTATAAAAATTTATAAATTCTTTTGATGAATAAATTAAATAGTTATATTCATAGATTTCAGTATGTCCTTGTAGAATAATTTTTTAAACATTAATTATAATCTGTGTCGTTTTTACCTCTTTACCTCAACAATAAAAAAATAATAACCATATTTTTATTATTATTATTAGCTAAGACCAAGGCTAAAGCTAAATAACAAAATAACAAATTTAAATAAAATAGTATATATTATTCACAGTTCTATAAAAAAAAAGTGTGTTAATTATTTTGGCACTTAAACTTAAGGGTTATAATTTTGAGTTCTTCGTTTATTGAACAAATTAAAGATATCTAAACATATTTGACTAGACAGAATTCATTTTTTCCCATTTTGATATTAGCACAACCGTCAATTAATTTTCAAAACAATTTATTTTTTTTTGCTGTTAAAGGGAGTTTAAAAATATTGACGCATTTTCCAGCTCAAGAAACAAACAAAAGAAACACAAATTTTATATGGATTACAATTTTCCGCATGCTTTGAATTTGCATAGTCAGGCATACGAGCGAGTCCTAAATCAGCCTTAAAGTCAACACATTTCACGAGGCTTTATTTTGTTCTTTTTTTTTTGTGTTTTTTTTTTCTTCTTGGCTGTGCAACAATTGTAGGTCAACACAAATCAGCATAAGCTACAACTACATATCGGGCAATAACATTTTTATGTGTTAAAGCTTTGTGACAAAAGGCCAAAATACAAACGACAAATGCAAAACTGCCCAATAAAGATAGAGAAAGTCGAGAGAGAGTGTGAGAGAGAGAGGAAGACAAAAGCAAGTGGCAAAAGAAAAAATGGGAATGGAAAAAGTTGCTGCAACTTTGCCGCTGTGCTTTCTCCAGTGGCTGTAATAAATTTGGGCAGCTGTAAGCAAGCAACAAATGGGAATAAGCAAAACAAACGGCCATTGCAACAGTTCAGCACAAAGTCAGCAGGGGCGTTAGTCATGTGGGTGTGGCATGGCCGAAAGGGAATTGTTTATAAAACCCAAGTTTTTTTTTTTTGCTTTTACGACCAAGAAATAGAAAGCAGTTAAAATGCCAAGCCATGGATCAATTTTTGCTGTCTTGCTGCAGCTGCGCCACGCAAGAGAAAAAAAAAAACAGTTCAAATTGGCCCGAAAAAGTTCTTAAAACAATGCCATTTTGTTTAAAGAAATACAAAAAAATGCCTAAAAGCTCGTAAGTTTCTTTATACAGCCGGAAAAGGTTTTTTAAAACGTAGAACATAATTGTAAACTTCGCAATTTTATGTTCTAATATACAGAATATATTTCCTGCATTTTGGGAGTATATTTAAAAAAAAGGAATGTATTTGTTTTAAGAAATTAATTATTATTTATTTTAATATGAAAAAAAATATATATATTTATAGTACAACTACTGAATGGTAGAAATTATATTTTTATAAATTATTAAAGTCTGAAAGGTATTTTCTTCTCTTGCTACCAATATCTTCCAAATGTAACACAATATTAATAGTAGATTTACATATCTCCAAATTAAGAACAATTTTTTTTTCTTAAATTTAAGGAATATTTTTCTATGTCTAGCTGCAAAATTTGGCTGCTCGTCAAAGGTTTTTTTTGGCCCACGTGCGCTTGATACACTGTCAAAAATGTTGAGCTGCATGAAAACATGGAAACTGGTTGTGTGTTTTTTTTTTTTTTTTTGGTTTTTATTTGCACACACACGCACACAGGCAAACAAGCATGCGTATATGTATGTCATTTACATTTTATTCTATCTCATATCATGGCTGAGCGATTTCATTTTCATGCGTGTCCTGTTTGTTGTCCTGTGTGTGCGCCTGCATTTGTTTGTGTGCACAACTTGTTGTTATTCTTGTTGCTGCTGCTGCTTTTCTTGTTGTTGTTGTTGCTGTTCTTGGTTTTGTTGTAGTTGCTTTTATTTTGTCCATTTAAATGGCAATTGTTGTGGCATCTGTTGCTATTCCCGCTGCCTGGCTATCGCCAAAGCTCCCTTGCCGGCTGCTTTTCATCTGGTTTTCATGTTTGCTTAGCCTTGCCTACCAACGTATTTATTCAGTTGCATGCCAAGCCCCAAAAATAGTTTTAAATGTAATTTCTAGATGCACCTACTAACTTGCCACTTGAATATGCAGCGCCCCGAAAATGCCCCACTTGAATATGTGGAGTGTTACTTTTGGCAATATACTACAAGACGAGCAGACAGGCACGTTGTATGCATACACACACTACACACACACACACACACACACACACACACATACACACCCTGTTGAGCGCTAGTTTGCTGCGTTTTTTCGAGCCGCCTCTCAGCCAGAAGCTCATGAGTGCTGGTCCAGTTGGCAGGCACATGCATAAATATTATAAAACGTGCAGCTGGCTCAAAAGGTGAATAGGAGCTCAGCTCAAGCCTCCCCTACCGAAATAGTGAATAGGAGCCGAAGTCTCCCCCCGTCCCCCTCCTCGACTCTTTCATGTGTGTGGCCAAAGTGCTTACCCTCTGCTCTTATAAATAAGCCAGTTGGCTAGAATGCTCGGTATCTGCCTCTATATATTCCAAGTCCAACTGTCTGCCTGGCTTTTTGTCTGTTTGACAGAATTTACCTTTGGGTTTCCTTCTTTTTTTTTTTTGGCAAATGCTTTGACTTGTTGTTGCTGCTGTTGTATGAGCCTTTTATGCATGCAACGACAGCTAACTGATTTTAGCTCATGTAGTATCTGGCGTACTTAGGCACAGGTTGCACACAATTTTTCATTCTCAACTAAAAATACTATAAATTCTGTTGCAAGCACCAATGCGAGTAATATTTTCTTTAATCGTGCTTAGATTCTGAGAATTTCTGCACAAATTATGGTATTTATTTATAATAAAATATTGAAACTCTTTAAAAACACTGATACTATTGAGTATTATATTTATTTATAAATTTATTGGCACACAAACAAAAGGCTTTTAGTATTAATTTATTTGCTCGTTTGCTCACAATTTCGGCTGTTTGTTTGGAATTTTAAAATTACTCAAACTTCACGGCTATGGCTATTGTTCGGTCATTAAGCTGGGTGTGTGTAGGGCATGTGGGCGTGGCTGTGTGGCGCACCCAAGAAAAGTGAGCAACGAATTGCTCAATTTGCGGCCATGTTAAATAATTGCCCGATAACAGAAAATAAGCGCATGCAATTAAATGATTTACAACAAAGCCGGAAACGGAAATGCAAAAAGAACAAAAATATGATTTCAAGCTGCCGAATCTTGTATATTCTGCAAATGATAACAAGCGAATAAATTGCTTTGCTAAAAATAGATTTGCAGAGGGAGAAACATAAAGATAAATAAGAAAAGAAAGTTTTTATAAGGCAATAATAATTCAATTATTATTATTGCTTTTATTATTATTAATATTATTGTATTTTATTATTATTATTAATTATATTGTTAATCTATTTTATATTATTATTATATCATTTATATTTTTTATGCACATATATCATAAATTGTATGTACTTTCTATGGTTAGCGCAGCAGATGTCATATGTATAGTACTCTATTGCATAGTTAGGGTATGATTATGGCAAAATGATGAATAATAATTATGAAACTTACATGTTGTGCACTTCATTAAGAAGTGATTTAAATGCAAGTCAAGCCGCACGTTAAACAATGACAATTACCGGGGGCTGGGCCAACGCGTCGTATGCTTGTTATTAATTTTGCCGTTGAAAAATGGGACATGTGCGTTAAGCTAGGATTTAACAAATACCGTGCATTCGGAATATTTTCAATGTAAAGATGGAAACACAATTAACGAGCGCGTGTCGTGAGTCGCGGCTGAGCTTGAGCGACGCATGTGATATTTATGTGAAAATCGACAACAAAAAATGTCCACAAACAACGTGTAAAATACTTTCGAGCTGAACACGCGCACGTTATACTTTTTGTGAATTAACAATTTTTAATAAAGTCATACACACGCACACGACTGAAGCAAGCACACTGGCTGCTCATTTAAACGCTGAGCCGGGACGGGCCAAGGCCTGGGGTAGCTGCCACGCCTCGCGTCGCGTTGCGTCGCGTCGCGTGAACACGGGCCTCAAAGATTACAAATTGGAATGCAACAAGCAGCAATAACAGCAAATATTTCGCCCGGTTGCATCAATATTTAATCTGTGTTTAACATTTCAATCAGCATTTAAATGCAACGATACGGCCCGGTTTATGCATATGCGAAATTGTAAAATAAATAATTAATTTTTGCATTTATTGTATTTTTTTTTTTTTTTTTTTTTTTGGTATTTTTGTATTTGCTGCACACGCCAATAAAATGTAATAACACACACGGACACACTGGGGCACACACTAACAGAGATTTGGTGGATTTGGTTCAAGTCGATTGTGCCCTTTTTGCGATTTACTAACGTTTTGGGTACTAGCTGGACGCGTATCCTTGAGCACGGTGTAGCGCCACGTTCCGACACGAATACGAAACTGAGCGATGCCAATGGCAAAAACTGGCACGAGCCATAGAATATCCTTGCACGCTCGGCGCCAACCAAACCGGGGATATTTTCGTGTCGTGCCACATTTGGACGATGTTGTCGTCGTCGACGTTGAGTCGTCGTTTTCACTCAATTTTGCCGAATGAAAGTAAAATGTTTTTTGTAATATGGCGTGGACGGGGAGCGAGAGCGGGTTCGGGGTCGGGTGTGTTAGCCAGCGCTCGTCTTCAGCCGGATTGTGGCCTGCGGCTCGGCGTTTGAGTTTGTTTTGGTTTAAATTGCATTCGACTTGATGATGCTTGAGGCGCCCCAGAAGTGGGCCTATCCCAAGCACTTTTATTTTAGCTTTGCCAGCCTGCTGTTTGATTTCTTCTTTTTTTTTTTTTTTTTTTTTTTGTTCTTCCTCTCTGTGAGTTTGCTGAGGATTCTTACAGCACTTGAGTCAATGCGAATGCAAATGCAAATACAAATAACTAGTTCAAGTGCTCGGCTATTTGTGTTTTACAAAGCTTGACTAGACCCATCGAGCTCCAAGTGCTAATTAACGTTACGGAACTAATGTTTAAATAATAATATGGTATATTAATTGCCTCGAGCAGCTCTCAGCTCTATGCCTAGACGTGCCTGATTATTTTACGCTTAATTTACTTTTAAATAATTTATCTCAGCTATTATTTCATTAAACTATATACTCTAGTAATGCTCTAAGATGCTTTTAAGAGAAAATTTCCTAAGAGAAAGAAAATCTCTTAACTTTGCACGCATGCGCCTTGCGCGCCTTCCAGTCGCCTCTTGGGTAATATAAGAGTGGTTTTTGGTCAGGTACTTTTGCGCTTTATTCAGTAGAGTAAAGGACACAAGTTTTAACGGCAATTCGTATTTAATAGTATCTTAAGCAACAAGCTTTATCATATAAAAAGAAACGAGTCTGGTTTTGTTAGAGTTTCAAATAAAAGTTTGCCGTCAACTTGAATGTATTTAGTGCTACATTTTCATGATCTTCCATATCTGCAGGGCAAGAAGAATTAGTTCGATTTAATATAGTTATGCATGTATATGTTTTTCACTTACCCGATCATGAGTGTTGGGCATCGGTGTGCGTATGACCGGTTGCTTTGGACCGGGTTTTGCATCCTTGGTATCTTTAGTATCCTTGGTGCTTTTGGTCGCTTTACCTGCCGGTGTCGGCTTTGGATTGGATGTGCTTGGCTTTTCAGGCATTTTAAAATTTGTTATATATTTTTATTCGGAATTTTATTTATCGTATTCTCTATCGCTGCTCAGATAGGCGGCAAGCTGTTCAGATTCGTTGGAAATACAAATTTTGTCGGATTTTTGTTGTACATATTTTGAATTTAATGTGCCGCCTACTAGCATCTGACTAGACAGTGTAACCGTCACCAGCATATAGGTGAAATATCATACAAAATGTCTGAGCCCTAGTGGCCTCAGGCCAAGTTAGACAAGGAGTCAAGGAGTCAGCGAGTCGGGCAGTCAGCCAGTCAGCGAGCCATTCGTCAGCAGCATGTCAGTTGCTATGACTACACACACACACACACACACACAGACACACACACATACAGTCACACACATGCATATATACTCATACATAACAATACATCATAAATGTCAGCGCCTGAAATTGCGCATAAAGCCATATAAATGAGTCTACTTTAAGGCGCACTATATTTATGTACTTTTCGCTGGTCATAAGCGCGAAAATTGTCGCACTTGCGTGAAATATGTCTATGGCTGTGCCACATATATACTTATATTATATTTTTTCTCCTCTCTTAACTTTATTTCGTTTTTATAAATTAATTTGCATAAATTATGGCATATATGGGGTGTTAGCTATAAGCCTGGCCAAGCGTTTGCTATTTATCAGCGCCCGTTTCAAAATTTTCAACAAAAAGCTCACAGCAATGACAATCATTCATTCAGTCATTCCACTTGTAATTTGCATTTTTACACGGGCATTGCCCCCCTCCATCCATTGCCAGCTGCCATCTCCCACTCAGTCAAATTCCAAGCAGCAGACGAAAGACAACTGATATAGCCAACAACAATGTTGATTGTCTGCTAAAGAGCATAAAGTCGTAATGGAGTGAAGGCGAATAAACATAAAAACCCATCGAATTGCGGCCACACAAAAGGCGAAATTCTCTCCAATCGTGCTGAATAGAAAACGCACGCGTACGCACAAAATCTTGCAACGCCAAATCACTTTATTTCACTTGTTTTCAATTTTCACCAATCCCCCAAAACCCGCACCTAAAACCCCAGAACACCCAACGAACACCCCAAAACAAAACAATTTTTACGCTTCTTGCGCTGTTTTATGTGCAATTTCTTTCAGTTCTTTTTATTCCACTTGAAGGCGACTCTTATAGTTCTCTCTAGAGTTGGGCGCGTGTCGTCATTTTTGAAAAGCAAACCAAACACGAAACACAACATGATTGGCACGAAGCTTTTTTTGTCGATTCTTGTAGTTTTACAGAAAAATTACCTTTCGAATTTTAATACGATAAAAAATAAAAATAAAATTTAAAGAAATCTAACTAATATTACTCTTCCAATAAAGCTTTAAAATGGCTATAAAAAAGAAGTCGTCTAAGTTTTTAGAAATTTTTAAAATAATGTTTTCATTTATTTTTATTTACACTATAATATTATGAATCTTTTTGGCTTGGCCCAAGAAATTTAACGGACGAAAAGGCAATGTTATAGTTTTAAACAATCGAAAAAACAAATATAGAAAAAATAATAAAACTATTTTGTAATTTCAATATTTCAGTAGACTCTATTTTTTATATTAATATATATATATAAATATTTTTCTTATTATAATTTTTACGTATATTTTAATGATTTAACATGAACTTAAGCGCAGTTGCCATATATATCCAAATCGTTTCTTAAGTGCGTCAAGTTTAGGAAAAAATGGTCTTTATTTAATCAAATATATAATTTCTTGATTATCATACTGATATAGATATTATCTCTACTATTGCTTTATTGCCTTTCAAGATTCCCTATTATTTTGCACCTATCGTGTTGACATGCTCAATAGTCAGATTTAACTTCTTAGCACAATCACTACGTGCTTTCGTGTCACAAAGGGAAACACGATACTTGCGCCCGACTCTAGTTCTGGGTCTGTCCATCTGTTGTTTCTTTGTATCAGTTTTCATGTTGCTCCGTACTCAATAACCGCCGACGCAGCCACAAAAACCGACGAATAATTAAGTCATAAAAGGTTTGGGCCAACCCGCACCCACATCCGCATCCCCTTTCCTTTTTTGGTATTTTTTGGCTGCCACACAGCTTTGACAATTAACCAAACTATAAAATGTTTTAGTTTGAACACCTGAAAATGTGAAGCCGCCGTTGCCGCTTATAGCAAAAGCTTACCCAAAGGACATGCACACACCCACCCATGCACACCCACACACACACACACACACACACACGTGTGCACACGCACATTTAAGCCAATTAGCATTTATGTGCGACGCCGACTGCGACGTTGACGTTGACGTTCGCATTGGCAGCACCAAAGCGCGTTACATTTTCATCAAACGCACGACACTTTGTTTTAATTTGAGCAACCGCACGCACACACACACACCCACACACATACAGCTGGCATGCATGAACTAGCACCCACACACACACACACACACACACAGTGACAGCTATGTTTTGGTTTCGTCACGGACTCAGGCCTAGGCTCTGGGGCTTGGGGTTTTGCTGCCTGGCTGGCTGACTGGCATAGGCATTTACAGATTTTTGTTTGTTGGCTTCGCCGCCCCTTGCTCAGCTCCCAGGGGCCCTTGAACGGGATATTACATTGTTTTGGGCAATTCACTTTTACTGTGATTAATTTAAATGTGCCCCCCACCTCACACACATGTACACACACCCGCAGCTATACGCTGCCCCATGCCAAGAGTCTCGCACGCAGCGATCCGCAGCCGTGACGACTTTTTATTCTATTTTTTTTTTTTGAAGCCGAATGTGGTGTGGTGAGTGTGTGTGTGTGCGTATATCACGTGTGCGGCTTTCATAAATATATATTCTTCAAACCCACAGCCGCCATTTTAAATCGAATTGCTCATGACACTGATGAATATAATTAGCACTCGAAAAAGACAACGCCCACAGTTGTCGTGCTAATGAGATATATATTTGTGTGCCCCAAACTGTGTGCCTTTGGGCAATGGCGGAGGGGAGCAAGCGGAGGGTAGGCGCTGTCTCAATTGATGTAATGGAATTGATTTAAGCATAATGCGATTGCATTATATCAACTTATTAATTACAGAGACGCTTATTTTTCTTGGAAATTATTTGCAGCGAAATTGATAAATAGGAAATGAAAAAATTAATTTATATGCAAATTTTAAATGCCAGGCATTAAATACCATTGCGAACATATTGCATATTTTTATATTTTCCTAGAAAATAATTTAATAGCCAACTTAAAATTGGAAAATTAAACTGAAATTGATGTGAAAATATAAATTCTCAAATGCCATGGATAAAATAATCTTACAAACTTGTTGCAGACAGATTTTTGGTAGTTTCTTGTAAATACAAAATTAAATTTATGCATACAACATAAAACTGATGGAAATCTTTAATTTGATTAGTATAAATTCAATATTGAGTCTTGGAAAATAAAATTTAATTAAATAACAAATATATACGTACAAATTTCTTAAATGCCGTAGACGAAATAGCTTTCCGCAAATTCGGTGTAAAAAATATGAAAAAGTATACAAAATTCTAAAATGGCAAGGTTATTTAATCCAAATAATCAGAGTATGTTGACGATTTTTGTTATTTTCTTAGACTTAAAACTTTAAACTTAATGAAAATCTTGCAAATACCAAGCATAAAATAACCCTTGAGGATTTTTGTTACTTTCTTGCAAAATAAATACTGCAATTTTCTTCACATAAAAAATTATAATAATTTTGAAAATGCCAGAGAACATCTTCTTACATGTTTTCGTGTTGCTTTCAACTTGTTGTTCAAACAAATATTGAATGTTCAGCTGCAAAGCAAGCCCACCCAAACTCCATTTACTCTGTATGTTTAACCAGTTTCATATTCGTATTTAATCAAAAAGGTCACAAAAAGCGGTTGTGTATATATATTTATATATATAGAGATTTTCCGCAAAACGACCGAAAGAAGTCTCCTTGAATGCATTACAAATTGACAGAGAATTTTTAAATATCCCTTTACAAAGTTAAAATAAAGCAGTTTTTTTCAGCTGAAAAGCTTAAAAATGGAACTTAAATGTGGAAAATCTTTAAAAAGTGCGCCACATAAGCAGACAGAGAATCAGAGAGATAATGGTAGAGGGAGGGAGAGCGAGAGAAGCCCGGCTTGCCCCGGGCTGGTAATTAATGAAATGCATCTGGGCGTTCCGACGCGTTCATTTCTCACCTGATGTGTAAATCAATCCTATTTCGGTTACAGCTTACATACAGCTATACCTATACCTAGATAACGCAACAGTCCCCAGTGTGTGCCAGTGTGTGTGTTTGGATGTGTGTGTGTGTGTGTGCGTGTGTGCGTGTATTTGTGCGTGCTGTGGGCAAGTGTGCGTGTGACAATGCGCAACATATACACGATCATGCATCATAATCCAACACCCAAGCACACGAAAACTTAGCACACTCACACATACACACGCACACGCACAGACAGAGATACGCACACACACATGCAGATTTACATCAGTTGCTTTGTAATTAATTACTTCACACATTGACGCCGGCCGACACACATACACGCACACATGAATGTAAACTTTACTGTATGCTGCCATAGAACTTGTTGTTGTTCGAGTTTGTTGTTGCTGTTGCTGCCACACGCTAACTAATATTGTTAGCAGCATTTTGGACGGCTTTTGCTGCATGTTTGGTTAGCAGCAGCAGCAGCAGCAGCAACAGCAGCTCTGCCCGCTGCGCTGCCTCATAACGGTATCGTAAATTATGTGCCATTTATGCGGCATTGGATAGAAATGGAAATTTGTCCCATTTGTTGCGTCGAGACACTTGAGTATTCATATGGGTGTACGCTTCAGCCAAGCCACGCCCACTCCGCAACGCAACCCTGGCTTGCTGTTTGGCATTGATTTATGGGCACGAGTACATTTTGGCTAAATATTAAATGAAACGTTAAACCCAAAGCGACACGAACTAGATGAGCTTTAATTTAAATTATAATTATAGTAATTGTTTGAATACACTTCTATGCAGAAATAGAGATAGAAATCGGATATGAAATGTGGATGAATGTGAGGTTGGGAAGGGAGGGGCTTGGAGCAATAGCTGCGGTGCGTTGAACTCCGCAGCGTGCGGCTGGGCG